CTCGGTATCTCCTGACCCCCCCCTTGGGTTCCGCCCCTCACTTTGGGAACAACTGAACGAACAGAGAAATGGAAATAGAACAGCTTGAAGAGAGAGACACCATCTGACTACAGTCAGGAAAACATTGACTGATGTTCATATGAATGGGGGACAAAAAAACCTTTGAATTCAATACTTTGTCCATTTTCTAATAAAAGTGTCATGTGTTCCACAGATGGATGTTTTAGATACGATGTGTTGTTACAAAAAAAAAAAAAAACACATCGATCCAAAACATCAGTTTTGGTGAATTTGACCTTTTTTTAAAAATAGCAAATAAAAATAAATCATAAAATGTCCTGAAAGACTCTCCTAAAGGTTAGACGTCTGCTTTGTATTTCACTTTATTTCCTCACTGAGCTCATTTTACTGCTTTTACTTTGTTTGTATTTAAATGAGATCAGTTCTGTTTTCTGGTCTGTTAAACAAACTGTTTACAGATGAAGGGTTGGATAACCAGCCTGTAAAATAGTGTTTAAAGCAGGAAATAAAAAGTAGACAAATGAGTTTAGAAGAAGTTTAGATGAGAAACAACAATTGAATTATTTAAATTTTTCCAAAACCAGAGAAGTCGACTGGCAGACCGTTTCCTCTCCACCTTAAAACTCACTATTTAAATCTGGATAATTTGTTAAATTAAAATTAAACATGGTATTATTAATAACTTTATCAAAACACTTAATGTATCAGGCTGAATAAAATGTTAAACTTTGGCAAAAGAAAGTAGAAAAGCGCGAGCTTTGATGGCGCAGTGGTTAGCGCACATAACCTATATACGGAGGCCTTAGTCCTCGACGCGGCCGCCCGGGCTCGAATCCGATCTTTGGCCCTTTGTCGCATGTCTTTCCCCCTCTCTCATTTCCCATTTCCTGTCATCCTACTGTCTGAAAAAAATCTGCAAAAGTTCAGAAATCTGGACCCACTGACCCACCTTAGATCCACAGGGAGCTGACTGGACCCACCTTAGATCCACAGGGAGCTGACTGGACCCACCTCAGAACCACAGGGAGCTGACTGGACCCACCTCAGAACCACAGGGAGCTGACTGGACCCACCTCAGAACCACAGGGAACTGGCTGGACCCACAGACCCAGCTCAGAACCACAGGGAGCTGACTGGACCCACAGTTATCTCACTGTGGATCCAGCAGATTCATTCATTTCCATGTTTGGGAAAAACTGATTCTTTTTCCCCAAAAACATCTGAATTGCATAAACCTGTTTGAATTTAGATGCATTTGTTCTTCTTCACTTAGTATTCATTGCAATTTCTGCTTTCATATGATCGATCAATCATGTGGAAAAAGACAATCAGGAAAAGGAAGCCTGGACACCCAGACATCCCAACATGGCCGCTTCCTGCTCGCTCGCATCAACGCGGTGTCCTCCGCTTTCAGAAGCTCAATCAGTCACCTTAAACATTTGTGTCATCCAGTCTGTTGCTTCAGACTCATCTCATTTTTCCTGAGAGGTGCACTAAATGCAGAACAGGAGGAATGAAAACGCAAAGATGGGAGACAGCATGAGGCGGAGAAACGTCAGGAAGTGCAGCCATCAGAAGATTAGCAGCTGAATACGGAGGATGAGGAGGACCGCATCATCTCCTGCAGCATATGTTAGCAGAACATTATGTGCTTTTAACACATTACCATAATGGACGCCAGTTCCTGGTCTCTTAGGGCGGCTTTTACCTGTTACCTGCAGCAGCAGCAGCAATCCCCTTTAAATGGAACTCAGAGCTGTTCAACTTCTGCTCTTTTTTTTTTCTTTGCTAAAAGTCACAGCAGCAGGAAAATAAAATGTTGATAAAACAGCAGTTTGTCATGTTGAGATGTAGAATAACCCTCTCAGCGTTTGCCTTTCAGACCCCGTAGTTGTGGAGAAATGAATGAGATTTTCCTCTGGAGGAAAATGCTTAAAAAAAGCATTTAAAATTTACATCAATGGATTCCATTATGATATAAATGAACATAGCTTACCAGACTCATCATTGTTGATCATTTTTATTGTTTTCTTTGTAATCATTTAATTACTATAATGTTCATTTCTATTTCCTTTAATACTCAGCTTGATTTTATTTTTTATTCTTTCTTCTATGCCACTGCAATTTCTTTGTTTCTACTTAACTTTTTTATGCAGAGCACTTTGAACATCTTGCTTTTAATAAACTCTAAATGTCTCAATCAGGATGAAGCAAAAAAAGGAGAATATTTTCTGAGCCGCTGGGGTTAAAGGTCACGAAAATAGAAATGTTAATTATATCGCTAATGCAAAAAAAATAAATAAATAAATAATGGATTAAAAAAATAGCCATTTCTTACTGGAACAATGCTAAATATTTAGCTCCCTAAATCTATCTAAAAAAACGTAATATTTAGATAGAATATATGCATAAAAACATGCTGGAGGTTAGAGGTCACCAGAAGCATGGGGGCAGAGGGATGGGGGCCAGAGGGATGGGGCAGAGGGATGGGGTTAAAGGGATGGGGCAGAGGGATGGAGTTAAAGGGATGGGGGCAGAGGGATGGGGTTAAAGGGATGGGGCAGAGCGATGGGGCAGAGGGATGGGGTTTAAGGGATGGGGTTAAAGGGATGGGGGTAGAGGGATGGTTTTTTTCTTATCAATGAATCATTTCCTTTTCCTTCAGTCTTACCTCTGCAGAGACAAAATACTGCCCAGGTTTCTGTAGAGAACCACACCGGTCACAAAGGTGGATGAGTCATCAGTATCTGTTCAGGAGAAGCAGAAGGAAGGACACAGTGAGCGGTCCGGTCCGGTTCTGATGGACCGCTAGGCTACTATTCAATAAAACATGAAGAAAAACTCCTCAGACTGAATGACTTTAAAAGACTTTTAGTTCATTCATGAGTGATTTATTTTGGAGGATAATGTTTCACAATAACTGAAGAGAATATTGACCAATCACATTCCAGAAACATTTCCTGACTTCTTTTTTCACAATATGGTTCACAAGTGACCAAAACACAAGAGCAAGAAAACTCCTCTAACTAGCAGTCAATTAATATTAGCATCAAGAGCTGCATGTGCAAAAAGTTCAGTTTCATGAAAGCTTAAAAACAATCTTCTGTAGATCCCTGAGTTACTTATCCAGCCATTTATTGCAGAAGCTTGACCTCAGAATCCAACATTGTTTTTGGAGAGATTGATACTTACAGGTCAAAAAATTCTAGAACTTTTTACAATTTTATAGAGAGTAAAACAAGAC